TACTCTCTGGCAGTTCCCTCTGACAACACAATGACTCTAGTGTTCAGTCTCTCTTGTGTATTTACAGTGTACGAAGCAGCTTGTTAATTTAACTCATATATAAAAAGTCTGCACGTACATAAACTCCTCGTGTACGTTTCAGCCTTTCAGCCGGAGCAGAGAGTGTCGGAGTCTGTGCAGCAGCTCACGTCTCCTGCAGCTCCGGACTGTTTATTCATTTTATTAAAGTGAGAGTCTGACGTCAGCTCTGAGCGTTTTAAACACGAGGAGCCAGAACACATTCGTCTGAGCAGCGTTATGTAAGTGAACTCTTTCTGCAGGAGCTCTTTGAGGAGCCGTTTGCTTCTGGGCAACAATCAGCCTCTGCTTTCATGTGCTGCACAAAGAGGCCGAGCTGAAAGGTTTTATCAGATGTGGAGGTTGATAAGGAGGCAGTGTCCATTCAGCTCTTTGTGCCATAAGTGCTGCATCATGTGTCTGCGCTAAACAAACACGCCATGTTTCCATTGATCCTTGTTAAAGTCAGGACCAATCACGTCTCCCCACAAACCAAACCCAGAGACTCTTTTATAAAGTGTCGTGAGCCAGGAAAGTTCTTAATCTGAGACTCTGACTCAGGCCTTGTTCTCACCTGGGGAACATTTAGTTCTGAGCTAATCTGGGCCTGAAACAGCAATTTATACCCAAACATGGTGTCGTGATCCGACCACAAACCACATACAGGCCAACACATGAAGCTATAAGATCCTGAAACGTGTCCCCTGCGTCTATGCTGTGTGGGAACGCTCCGTCAGTTGTTAAAGTGGTGGAGTGAGTGAAGGAAACAAGAAGCTCTTTGTTGATCCAACCTGAGAGAGAGAGGTTCCTTCACTGGGTTCTGCTCAGAAGTGTTTTATTTTGCTTTGAGTCACAGTGAAGAACGACAGGATCTGATGACTCACTATTTTATTTCTGGTGAATTCAATGATTGTTGCTCCGTGTTTGTCTGAAGTTCTGAAGCGAGGGGACGGAACCCTGGACTTTGTGACTTTTAAAGTATGAATAAAATTTGTATGATTTTACACATTAATTACATGTTAATGAACACGTACATGAAGATATTATATTGTGTGTTTCTGACTCTGAACATGTGTCTTCCATGTCGCCTCATGACACAGATCCTCAGTAACGTGGAGCAGGAGCTGATGAGGAGCAAACACCTCCTGGTGTCTCAGATCATTTCACATCACCGTGAGAGGAGCAGCAACATGTGTCTGTTGTTTTGTTGAAGTCGTGTCGTCATTCTTTGCATGACTGCACGGAGATTTCACATGTGCATGTAGACATGTGTTTGATACACACACACACACACACACACACACACACACACACACACACACACACACACACACACAGATGGATCAAAACAGGACAGAAACTAATGGCACTCAAAACATGCTGGTGGATCATTTACCTCTGTCACGTGCCAGAGATCACTTCTATCTGTGCACCTCATTGACCTTGACACACACAAACACACACACACACACACACACACACACACACACACACACACACACACACACACACACACACAC